AGTTGCCAGATACCACCGTCTTCGGTCCTGTTGGAGAAAAATGCCTGATGGTGCTGCACCTTCCGTGATGGACATTGTCTACCCACAGGTCAGCAGTAGCACGTGCCTTGCTGCATTGTGTGTGCATAGAGGCCAAGTAATACAAGTTGCTAGATGTGGCTTCCCCCCTTGGCCGTAACAAGTTTGTCTTTTAGTGCCACTAGGGCTGCCCCCGGGCTGTGCAGCCACGTGAAGTGTAAGTGGGAAGTATCCGCTATCCAGGCCGCTGGCAAAAGCCACTTGTTGTTGGACCTTGGTGGCCAGTGGCCACTACTCTCAATGCTTTTATCTAGGAAATGGGAGGGTATTGTGGTAACCAGAGAGCGGCTAAATATGTTAATTGGTCTATTGCTGGCAGGTGTGCTTCTCTAAAAAAAGTGTAGGTGGTTTCTTATGGCACTGGACACAGTTCTAAAAATGTAATTATTCCTGTGTAGCTCTACGATATTATTTGAAATACATCAACGGGTTTGTAGAGAACCACAGGACACGTTCCTGTCTTGAGAATGCCACAGCTGAGCCCTTCATTTCAGTGAGCGCTGCAGTGAGCTTTGACATTTAGCAGCCTTTACTTAGACATTTTATTTAGCTTTGGAAGAGCAAAAGAATTAGATTAAAATCAGATCATTGTAAATTTTATCTGCACAGCTTTTCAGCATACAGTAGAAACCATCAGGGCAACAAAAGCACTTTTTGTTCATGAGACTGTTATCTCAATCTGTATTTGTATAAGTTCTGCAATCAGAATAGCCACAGTGCTGTTTAAAGCAGGTCTGACCCCAGTGTCTTGTCATCTGGCCTGTGGGGCTCCCCACCGATCTGCAGGGCAGCCCCATAGGCCATAGCCCCATGTGCTAGATCCGGTACGGGCTCCAATTTTGCTGCGTGGATGCCAGGCAGGGGCAATTAAGGGCTCCTGGAGCCTGATCCTTGCCAGGAAGAGGTGGTGCAGGGTCCTGGGGCCCGTTCCAGCCCATGGACCAGCTCTACATCATTTATCTGTCTTGTGGGGCCAAACCTGTGAGCAGCACTGGTTTAAAACCATCTTTGCATGTGCTATGAACAGTCATTTTTTTCCATAATTTTTCTCCTAAATCAAGGCATATTTAAAAATATGAATACATTTTAAAGGCAGTGACAAGAAAACAGTGTTTCTGCTTTTTAGCGATGTTTCAGTTTTGAGTCTCAGTTTCCCAGTGGTCAATCAGATCTATCATTTTCTAAAGGTCTCCTTTAATTCCTACAAATCTTTTGTAATTGGGATGAAATTCCTCCTGGTATAGAAAGCCAGGAAACATTCTTTGCAACATGACAGTCCTTTTAAATAGGATTTGGCTGCTGCAAAGAACTCCTGGCTTTCTGGGCTGGAATGAGTGTGACTTTTAACATTTAATAGTCAAAAGAGCAGTTGCTTAAAGTTAGGAGCTTTGCAAGCATGCAGAGTTGTGAGTTCTTGGTTTTGTTGTAGGTCTCTCCGTTTTTTTGCCTTAAAACTCCAGCTTTGTATAAATATCAGAATTTTGAACCACACACACTTCTAGTTCTCCTGGTTGTAGAGAGGAGACTCATAATGGCTCTAACCCCAATGTGCAAATAAGAATCTCCCCATAGTCATTATTTGTTTAAAAAAACCCAAACCTTGCCTTTTTTGTGTCAGTCTCATGATTTTTGGGGACTAGCTCACGCAAGCTGAGAAGCTCAGAATCTTTCTCACATCATATTGGGATAGCCGACTGCAAAACTCTTCCCTGGAAGGACTGGGTTTCTAACGATCTAAATCATTTTACTGCTGTGGTCCATATGCTTTCTGTTTAAATTGTACGTAAAAGCCTTGTTGCCAGTTATCAACTAGTTGCTAATGAGCAGCAAAGTAACACAACAAAAAGGCTTATGTGGGGAGCCAACAGTGGGAGAATAAAGAACAAAAAGCAGTCACTTAGTATAAAACTCACACCATCTCTGTTCTGTCAAATTGTTCTCTCCTACTCAGTTTCGGGTACGAACGTCAGCCAAACATGTTCAGGTCTCTATAACAAATTGAATTTGATTTGCATATTATGAATTTGAAGAGATTGACTAAACTTTGCAAATGTATTGCATTCTTTCAAAATATTTTATTACAAAACAACTGAGTATTCCATTCAATACTGGGAACTTAGGATATGTATATGCATGTGTTATTCTGGGGTGCATGTGGAAAAGACAAGAGATCGTTTTAAATTACTTGGGTTTACAGTGATTGGGGTGCTGGAATGCGTTGCATCACTTTTCCATAAGCCATATGGTTGTTTTTGTCACAGTGAGGCATATGGATGTCATACAGCTATGGTTTCATGCAGAGATTTGCAGTATTCTTTGTGCAATATGTGGAAAATTCTACTTTTCCAAAAAAAAAAAAAAAATCCAGTATAGTTGAATGGGGAAATAAAATAAGTCTAATTCCTATCTAGCTCCTCTTATTAATACAGCTGTTTTACTAGGAGTGTAGAGGGCAGAGGGGTTAAATGTAGGAAAAGAATGGTTTCAGGATAAAATATGAGAGTAGGAAATAATGTATCAGATTCTGGTAGAGCTGCCCCAGGTGAATGCTGGGATCCCTGGGCCTGTGCTGACCCTCTGCACTTTGCATTTAGTGCAAGCGCATCCTTTTCCTGAGCTCCAGCCCCATGGATATTCTGGATTTACATTCACTTCTTCAGGGATGGACGATGTTTTAAGCATACGCACTGTTGATTTTGCTATCGCAATGAATCTAGCAATCAGGAAACCACGTGCATTTTCCCCATCTTTCTGAGCAATCTTTGTGTTTAGGTCAGAGCCCTCTGAAGAGTCCAGGATCTCTCTGATAGATGTGCTTTCTCCTCTGAATTGGAGAGAATTTGCCTGTCTCCGTTACAAGTAGTTTCCATTTTTCTCTGTTGGTGCCCTGGGTTATAAAAGTGCTTTCCTATTTCTTTTCCGTATCCAAATTCCCCGTGCTTCTGTGAGTCGCTCCTGGTATAATATGCCAGAGTTTTTCAGAGCGTGTTTTCTCTGCACAGTTAATTCAGACTCTTCCCTGGGTTTTAGCTCAAACCACCCTGTGTTGCATACAAAACATCTTCTGGCCCAGGTTTGGAGGTATTTTAAGCCAAGCCTCACGGGCCTGCCTATCTGAGGTTGAAGATTAGAAGCGAGATGCTGCTTTCATTTGGACTAGAATGAACTAATTTAAAGTGAGGATACCAGCAAAATCAGGCAAGTGCTGATAATCCTTCAGTGCTCCTTTCACCAGTCCACCCAAAAGACAGGCAAAGTCATTTGCTATTGACTTGATTGGAGAAGAAGCCCAGAGCATCTCAGCACAAAGATGTGCCTCTCGACACACGTGGCCAAGGGCAGAATGAATGGGTACATTAATGCTGGTGTAGCTTTGCTGTGGGAATACCTATACCTGTACTTTGGGTAGGCTAACCTAGATGCCAGTCACCCAAGTTAAATGTGCAGTGAAAACCGGTTCCAACTTTTAGACCCAGTGGGCACATTTACACGTGCTATTCAGGTGATTGAATAAACTCTGGTGCAATTCACACTGGAGTTCATTGCTCCCAGGTGCACCATTTGCACGTGCACTCTGGACCATAGCACGTTAAGCTGGGGTAGAGCAGCTGGCAGGGGGCCCTGGAGGTCTGCCTGCCAGCCCAGGACTGCTCTGCCCTAGTTCAATGTGCTGTGGAGGGGCTTGCTGGGGCACTAGAGTGCTTCAGTAAGGGGGTAGCCAGCAAGCAGCCCCTGCACTGAAGCACCCTCGTGTCCCAGCCAGCCCCATCAGCTTCTACACATGCATTGCGGTAGAGTAAATAACTCTGCCATAGGATAGTACTTGTGCTTGGCAGTACTATCTTACATTGGAGTTAATTCATTTACTCCAGCCTAATGGCACCGCACATGAAGACAGTGATGTTTTACTGAGGGGCTCATTAGGCTACTCCACAGTAAACAGCTCATGTAGACACACCTAGTATGTGAGACATTTCTACTCCCCAGGCCCCTACCTCCTACAGCACAATTGGAGATAACTGGCTTCACTTGAATGGAGAGCCATCCAGGTACAGTGACCCTCCACTGTACTTGGTTTCAAAGAGACCTGGCACTGCGCTGGCAACACAGGTCTTACTGCACATGCACGGAGAGGTTTGGTGATGCAGCAGTTGCATCATCTCGACCAGAATTCATAAGTTTGTCCATCAGCAGAGTCCCCAAATTGTCATGGAGTCATACCATGTAATTTCTGCTATGTCACAGCTCAGTGCCTCGAAATTAAAACAGTCGGGAACAGTCTGACAACAACAAACTGTTTGTGTCGCTCACGCTTGTGAGTAGTCCTCTGTTGGCTGTTATCCAGATTACTTCTGGACAGTTTGGCGTATCCAGTGGTGTATGTTAATTCTGAAACTGAATCCAGCCAACAGCGAGGCCCACATTCTGCATGAACCATGGCTTTTTCCTTTATAAACATTAGTCTTGTAGTTAAGTAAACTGTGACTTAACAGCTAGGGATGGGCAAACTCAGAATGGGATGCAGGGTTGGGTTGGGTTTGGTTTGGAGAAGTACCCAGGAGCTTGGCTGCTTTTCCAAATCAGCAATGCTTGATTGAAAATTTTCCTAGGAACAGGATTTCCCTTGCTAGTTTTCTAGCAGCGCCTCTTCTGCCTCCCCCCTGGAGATACTGTGAGAGCAAGCTTTATCTTAGTTGGAAATTCAGAATGAAAAAAAATGCTTAATTGGATATTAAAGAACCCCCAAAAGATTTGGCTGTAAATATCTGAGAGCATTCAGGAGTGAAGGGCAGAACAGGGGACTTTCTTATTAATTCAAGTCAGTTTGCCCATCCCTACTTCTTGGTTATTTTGAGGCACTGACTTGACCATAGCTCTCTGTTACCCTACTGAGATGCATCTCCTCTGTTTTGGTTGTGCAGGCCAAAGTTCGAGAGCTAGAGGAGAAATGCCGGACACAGAGCGAACAATTTAACCTCCTTTCCAAGGAACTGGAGAAATTTCGGCAGCAAGCTGGGAAGATCGATCTCCTGAGCAGTAACTCGGTGGCATCCTCAGACCTCCCTGGCTCCCCTAGTAAATCTCTGTCCCAGTTAATGAATGGAATAGCCAACTCCATAGGCAAAGGTAAGAACAGGCACTTTTATTTAGTGAATTCGGAGTTAGAATGAACCCTCTCATGAACACAACACACTGAAGACTCTGGTTTCCTTATGTAATTGTGAGGACAGAGTTTGGCCTTGACTCTGCTCTGTTACCTGATGCCTACCTCAGTAGAGTTCATCTGACTTCACTGGAGCTCTGGAGACAGCTGAGAGCAGGCTTTGCTCTAATGATTGTCCTTCGTTGTTTTTGCCATGAGAGCCTGTCCTGAAGATCAGACATTCAAAGTGGTTGAGATCCTAATATGGATCCCCCTTTGTGTAATGAGTGCCTGAGGAGTCACGTGGGGGAGCAAATAAATGTTCTCTGGATACAAAAGGTCCTCTACTTGAGCTAAAGGAATGGGCTTGTTATCTTGGAGGTAGCAAGAGCTTACGAGAGGCCTAAGACCCAGGGGCAGATCCAGTTTTGGATCATGTCACAGGAGCAGTCAGGGATTTTTTTTTTTACGTCCCTGAAGCGGGTAAGTGCAGGACCAGGTTAATGCATAGGCAAGCTAGGCACATGCCTGGGGCTCTACGTGAAGAAGGAGCCCAGTTGTGCTTATTTTACATATTCTAATTATTGAGTGAAAAAAAGTAAGGACGCACGAGTTTTTGTCTAGGGCTCACTAAAGGGTTCATCTGGCCATGGGTAAGAGTTTTCCCCCTTCCCCTTCCATGCTCAGCTGCATGTCCCCTCCCATTCCTCCCTCCCCTGCCCATTGCTGCTGCTGTCCCTGGGCCAGGGGGAGCTCCAAAGGCAGTCCTGTCCCACTACAGGCAAGTTGCATGGGGAGCTTGGCTCTGCTGGGGACAGTAGCAGTGGCAGGTGGGTTCCTCCTTCTTGCTCAGTTCTCCTGGGTGTTTGTGGCCAGCCTGGCAGCAGGCAGAGGGAGATCTCTTGCCCCTACCACTGTCCCCAGCTAAGCTAAGGTGCCTATGCAGCCCTGGAGCTCCCCTTGTCCTTGGGTTAGCCAGGGACAGCAGCAGTGGTGATCGGGGAAGGGGAGAGAAGTGCTGCTGAGCCTGGAGGGCTAGGGAGGGGGTGGCAAGAGGAAATGGGGGGGCTGGGTTCTTACCTGCTTCAGGGACTTAAAAAAAGTCTGCGATTGCTGTTCCCACAGCATGGTCTGCCAGCCCCGCAGCGCCGGTCTTTGCTCCCTCACCCACCTTTACAAAATCCTAGATCTGCCTATATTAAGACTTTTATAATGAATTGGCTTCAGTTACATCTGCTTCCTCCTTTTTTTGCTCTAAAATCTACTTTTAGAGATATTTATGTGGGAAAAGCTCCGTGGAAAATGTTGTGAAAAATTAAAATATTTTTTGTCGTAGTCAAACTTTCAGGGGAAAATTTAGACTTTCCTTCAGAAAATCTGCAAACCTGAGAACTTTGGGGATTTGAGGTTTTTATTTGCCCATGGAAACAAAAATTTTGGACAAAAGCAGGCGCTTTACACACAGTTGCTTATTTAGTCAAACTTGATTTTTTCATTAGAAAAGAAGTTTTAATGGAACATTTTTGAGTAGCCTTCTATGCAGGACACTTCCAACGGCTTTAATTTTTTTCCTTGAAATATTGATGATAACTTGACAGAATATAGTCAGTATAGTGTCTGGTGACCAGTATACCTCACTATACTAACCAGTAGAGTAGTGCATCTAAGCTACAGGGGACTGTGAGTGGAAACAAGTTTTATTTCAGTTTTAAGAGTGTAAAAAATGAGGTATAAAAATAATTGAATTTCAAAATATATTGAATCTACGTTTTAATATCCTCTCTGCCCACCTTGTTTTCTCTTCTGACTCTGTTTCCGATGGAATTGCATTGAACTTTTGCCAGGTCTTCTCCTTTGCCAAAGGCAACTGCTCCTTCCAGCTAGCTGAGGTTGTTCACTGCTCCTTACGCCCAAGTAATTTTAAAAGGTCAAGGCAGTATCAGTGGTCAGGAGGTTACTTGGGGATGCGTGGAAGGAATCCAGAATGTAAATCACACTTTTGATGTCTTGTAGAAGTCTGAGTGTCAGCAGTGATGAGAGTGGTGATGTGTGTATAGCGTCTAGTACAGTACATCTCTTTGTGTCAAAAGGGCCTGTAGGTGGTATGGTAGGACATAGGATAATTAAACATTAAACACAATCTGCAATATTTGTTCTGTCTCTAGCCTGTCTGCTTCCTCCCCGGGGTTTGGAATTGTTTGAATCCCTGGACCTTTGAAGCATGCTGCCAAGGCCACCTATTGTTAGGGGTTTGATGTTATATTGCAATATTGTGATGTTTGTAAATTATGGGTTAGTTAAGTTAAATGAAACTTCCGTTGGTATACGGACACTGCTTTGTGACTGGATAATTTTTCCCCCGTGTGAATTGTAGATCTAATTAATTACCAGGAGAAAAGGTTGAAATATTTCACGTTTGTTTCGACAAAACTTCAAATGTTAAATTTGGGGCAATACTTTTAATTTAAAAAGTAATTATCTGGGTGTATAGGGCCCATCCAAAGAACCCGATATAGTCAATATAGCAGGGGTGGGCAAAATGCAGCCCGCGGGCCAGATGCAGCCTGCCAGGTCATTCTATCCAGCTTGTGGACCCCCTAAAAAATTTAGAAAATTAGTATTTATCTGCCCTGGCTGCTTGTCATGCGGCCCTCGATGGCTTGCCAAAAATCAGTAAGCGGCCCTCCGCCTGAAATAATTGCCCGCCCTTGCAATATAGTTTTTCCATTCACTGCAGAGTCCTTTGGACCTTCAAAGGTGGTGGATAGTAAGGGGGGGGGGGGTTTGCATTTAAACCAACAGTGTCAAGTACGTGGGCTGCAGGCCAGATCTGGCCCAGAGAGCCCCTGGGGCTCGTAGAAGGGCTAGGAATTTGGAGATGAGGCAAGCAGGGCATGGGGCCACTGCAGAAATCTGGGGCATGAATCCTTGTTGGAGACCCATGTCAGCGGTTGCATTAAGCCCCCACACACTGCTGCAGGAATTGGGTACCCCTGCAGCCTGCAAGGCTCCTTGCATTCTGAATCCAGCCAGGGCAGTGGGGTAGCAGGTGAGTTTGATGCTCCCGATTTAAACTGTAATAGAAAAATACAAAATACACCAACCTTAAAATGAAGATTGTTATAGAAATAACATGAGTATTGAGAAAGCAAACAGGGTTTTTTTCTGCTCGTGAGCATGCTGGTATCAGAGGAGGAGTGGGGGGGTGGAGGGGCGGGGGCAGGGAGATTATTAGCCCAAGTGAAAATAAGCTGGTTTTTGTAGCATGCTGAGCACATATTGGCTTTGCTCCAGGAAGGTACTTAAGCATGCAGAGTCCGTGAAACTAGGCATGATCTTCAAGTTAAGCAACTAATAATAAGTCAGACTCTCTCAATGGCTTCATCTTATTTTCCTAATGTTTAATTGAAATAGCTGAGAAAAATGCACCATGGAATAAATATTTTCAAGAATCTATCAGGTATTGGTCCTCTAGACCAATACAGGTTGTAGCTGTATTGGTCTAGAGACAAAAGGAATTAAAACTCATGGAAGAGGTGATCACGTTTATTAGACCAAATAGATATTTGTATACAAATTTGTTTAATGTATTAGGAAATAGGAATTTTCATTTCCACCTAGGAGAATTTGTACAATCTCTGCTCTCTCCTATGCCTGATGAAGGGTGCGTGCGCCTGAAAGCTTGCACATAAATACAATAATTTGTTTGCAAATGTCTAGTTGGTTTAATAAAAGATATCACCTCTTCCATGAGTTTTGCTTCCTTTTGAGGAACGTATAGCATAATTCTTCCTCAGTTATGAAAGACCTTCAGTCCTGTTGGTACCTGGATCATTGGACTAGAAATCCTTGGACCAATATTCATATGTGGTATCAATGCATTAATAGCAGTGATATTGCACTTTTAGTTCATAATTTGTAAGCAAGCAGGTGGTAGTTTTGAAAGAATCTGCCATTTTACAGTACAAGTTTTGTTACAGCAGGCTTCTGGAATTAAAAGTAGATTTTTTTTTTAATGCCCTGGGGCAAGAGAGGACACAACGACTTTCACAACAGAAAACGTCAGACATGAGACCCAATTATGACCAGTTGCTCTTCCTTAACTGGTAATGGGTAGACGTTTCAGAAAATAAAATAAATGTAGACTCAGAGTGGATTAAAATGTACAGACAAAATCTGCTCCAGAGATAACGATAATGTTGCAGCCAAAGCCAGATATAAAAACTGACAAGATTTGTTGTTTATCAGATATGAGGGGCATTTTAATGCTCTTTCCCAGACATGCAGGGTAGTCCATAATTGATCAATCAATGATAATCTGAGTAGAAAGCTGGGTGTAATAGGCTCATGGTCAGACACTTTGAGTCTGATCAACTTTAATTGTGTCCAGAGACCTTTAAATTGAGTAGTCTGTAGCTTTTGTCTCTTCCCTTGAAAGAATATTCTTTAAACTTCCAGAAGCCAGCTCCCCTGATTCTGTAGATTTGCTCTTGTCCTGGGGAGGGGGTGCTCTGGGATTATCTGATTATCAGCCAGTAAGAATCATAGTTAACTTTAAAGTTAACGTTATCAACACATAGATGTCTTTTGGGGTGCTTATTACTCGTATGTTAACACCAAAGTATATAGTTATATTCATATTACACTTCCAAGCCTACAACCAAGAAATAGCCCTCTCGAATATGATCGTCCTTAATGGTTTTCAAACCTCTCGTTACTGCTTTGCTGATATTGTATCATTTTAATAATTTTTTTTTATAAAGCTCTGCTGCAGAATAGATCTCAAGTCATGGACTCAATGTTAAGGCGCATGGCTGTAAGAAACCCCTGGGTTGTGCCCTTTAGTGCTGTGTCACCTTCCTTTACTAACGTTATCCATTTACCACTAGGATAAGAGGAAAAACGCACTTCAATGGGTTCATAAATGGAGAAGGACCAAACCTTTTTTGTTCTTACTGCAGGGTAAACCCAGTGATGTTGCACCAAGGCAAAAAGAGAATTTAATTTGTAACCATGGCATATTTTGATCTGAACATTTAGCTTCATTTCAGATGCAGTATTATTCCTCTGTACCCATACATACCTAACCCAGAGCAGCAGGTTTCCTTTATGGAGCTCCAAGAGCAAGCGTTTCACATGGTCACCAACATGCTTCATGTATAATGTGTCTAGTCCCTTTGTTGCTGAGGTGTTGATTGTTATTGGCAGTGGTGTTTTCACATATGGTAGCTTTTTTTAAAAGTCTCTACTAAGCTAAACAGTAGCAGCAGCAGCACTATATGCCTGCTGGAATCTGGACAAATTGAGGCACTTTATTTAAAAGGTCCCATGACCTTAAAAAATAATGAAGGTCCCCAGGAGCCTCCCACTAACAATTGACAATGTAGTCTGGTCTCATCGCCTTACCCAGTTTGTTTCAGTGGCTTGGAAATACAGCAAGCAGGTTTAAGCTGGTTCAAGAAATTGCTTATATTGTAGTCTATAATGAAAAGTACCCTGCAGGGCTAAGAACATGGGGAAGAGGCCTCCTTCCAGGAGCAGCAGACATCATTTCACACACTCTTGGATAGGGAGATAGCAACTGATAGCACCCAGGGTAGGAGTTACAAGAGCAAGGAAGACTATTACTGGATATGCAGCCAAATGAGAAATCAAGTGACACTGCATGTGGCAGCAAGACTAATTAGGAAAACAAATCTATTTTGTGTGTTTGCAATTGTGGCAGAAATGCTCCCTTGCACTTATATATGTACTTAAATATCACTAACCCCACTTACCAGGTGGAGAAAATGAGACCTGGAAGGGGTAAAAGTGCCCTGCCCAGAGCAAAGATCACAGAGTAAATTGGTTTGAGGAATGGGATTACGTTTCAGGAGAGCTGCTTAACCTTTCCTGCACTGTCTCCAAAACCGAGCAGCGATTCTTCTTTGCTCACCTTCGTTGTCCTCTGCACCACAACCAGTCACTTGCTAAGTCCTGTCGCTCCTTCCTCTTTTGTAAGCCAAAGCCCAGCTTCTCCTTTCATCCTCATAGCAAAAACCCTGGCCCATGTCCTGACCATCTCTTGCCTTGACTGTGACTACTGTGCAACCTTCTCCTCCTATCTGGCTTTCCTGCCTCTGTCTTCTCCAGCCTGTTCAAAGGATAGCTGTTAACATCCACTTCCTCTTCTGGGACTTCAATCATGCCTTCCTGGTTTTACTGCATCAAATTCATATTGCACATTCTCATTTTCACAGCCCCTAAAACCTATCCAGCCTCCCTGGCTTCCTTTCTTGCTGTTCCCAATCCGTTTGCCTTTTATCTCATACTAACATGTGAAAAGGTTTACACCCACTATCAGGTGGCCCTTGTGTCGGGATCGGTCTCCCTTCTCTATCCTGAGCATCTTCTTTCCTCCATGTCACTTTTTAAAGCCCATTTATTCCAGCAAACCTTCTTAAATGATCTGTCAATCCCCATAATATAAGTCTTTTGTCACTGTCTTGCTTTTGTCTAGCTCAAGCCAGATTCTGGCTGATAACCCGCATAGGGTGTAGGGCAATTAGGGTGTCCAGGAAGTTCCCCCTCTATCTGATGTCTAATGTGATTAATATATTAACAAAACCCAGGAAAATAGAAGAGATATGAAACAAAAAGCCAGTTTGCTTTGAATGTATAGTACCGGTTATTCATAGTTGCTGGGCTAACGGTTTTGGGTGGCAAACAAACGCAAGGAGTAAAATTGGTTTCACGTTTCTGCAAAGGAATGATTGCTGGTTGTACATATATGGAAGATTTCAATATGGAATTGGGATGATTATCATTAATTTTTTGTACAGCTTGTAATGTTTCCCTACTATCCGTCTGCTTAAGCTGCCCTGCTGTTAAATTACAGTGGTGCAGAGAGAAGGAATCAAGTTTGACCAGGGAGTGTGCAAAGAGCCCCTCTGACAGTGTGGTTTGGGATGTGTTCTCCTCTGCGAAGTGAAAAGATGATTCCAGGTGGCACCGAACAGTGGCAAGCCTGCACGTGAAAAACAAAGCCCTGCGTGCCAGGGCCCTAGCAGGGCTGGAGAACAGCTGCTGATCGTGCGTTGAACCAGGGCTTGAGAATTGGAGCATGGACTAGTTGTATTAAAAAAAAAAGAGAGAGGGGCGGTGGGGAGGCTCAGCTATCTGATTATGTCAGCAGTGCCCTAATTGTATGCTGTGGCTTTGAAACAGTTTCTGCTGCTACGGCAGCTGTAATTAAGCCCAGTTTGCTATTTCCTGTTTGCTTTCTGATGGTTTCAGAGGAAGAATATTATAGTACAAGGAACTGTGCCGCCTTTTACAGTCCACCATGACCGATCTCCTTGACAGCCTTGCCGAGCATTTCTTTCTATATGTTTCACTCAGCCCTAATCTCTGCCAAAATTACTGGGACATCAGTCAGGCTGCTCAGCATCTTGCAGGATTGCTTGCTAAAGTGTACCATATGAATGTAGGTTTTAGCAAAGAAGAAGCAGGCGGTCCTGAAGGTTTCGTCACCCTATAATCCAAACCCACTGTGTGTATTAAAAAAAGTCCTACCACTTTATCACCAGTGTGTCAGTCATGTACTTACCTGGATGCTTGATGCACAGGTTGATTCCATTTTTTTTTTTATAGTTACATGCCCAAAGTCTTAGAAGGCCAGCCGTTTGAGGGGTAGGCATGACCTTTTTCATAAGTCATCAAAAAAGCCATTTCTGGGCATCCTTACATTATTGTTTTTCTTTGTGAAGAACTGCACCAAATGTTGGTGGTTTTTTGACCTTACTTGCCTTTTATTTTACTTAGGAAAGCAGGATGTTCTAATGATCCAAGCACACATCCAAACCGCGATCTTTGCCAAGGTCCAATAATTATGAAAGGCCAATTTGTGACACCTGAGGCCTGATTATTAGAGGGCTGAACAGAGCTAGCCAGAAAATGTCATCGTCCCCCCCGCCACTGAAATTATTTTTCATCAAAAAATTGAACACTGAAAAATATTTTGTAATTAGCTAATAGATGAAAAAAACAATTTAAAAAACCTCCTGGAAACAGAATATTGTTAGTTTTTAGTTTTCCAAATAAATGTGAGAACATTTCCAAAAAAGGCAGCACTTTCCATGAACAGCTTCATTTATGAAAAGCGCAATTTTGCACTGAAACAAAATTAATAGAAAATTTTCCACCCAGCTCGTAGGCAGGCATCTAGGACTACCATTGATATTCTTGGGAATTATAAGTATCCAACTCATCTAATATCAGATTCTAGGAGTGTCAAATTGAGGAACAAAACTATTGGATATTTTTGAAGAATTGGGTCATGAAGCAATCAATCAATCTGTTTTCATTGATTGACCTTGTAGCCTTGGGCAGGTCTCTTCAACGTTAAATTTCTGTGACATTATACCTATGAACATAGTATGGCTTGATACTCCCTTACACTCTCTATACTTCCCTGACAATGAAACAGGACCTTCAATTTGATGTATATTTTCACTTAGTTCAAGGCCCTATATATTGCCATTGTGATTTAAATGGTCCATGGGGTAAATGAAAATGATTCTTGTGAACGGTACTGCTTATCTACCTACTTACGGATTGTTGAACTTTAATAAATTAAAGCTTGTACGACACTAGAAGTGTAAAGTTAGATATTTATGATTATTACGAATAAATAGTATGTATCGGCAGGTTGAGGCTTTGTTTTTCATGCTAGCGTGATGAATAACTTCAAGGCATGTTTAGGTTTCTGGCAGCAACATAAAGTCATATCATAGCATAAACTTTCCTCTTTTCCAGCTAGTCAGTAAAGACTGGGCTGTGACTCATATTCACGTGGTCCATGACACTGACCTTTGTATGAAATTCTCCTCTTTCCATATAATTGTTCATCCAGAGTTGTTTGAACAGGTACAGAATGGGAAAGGTTAGTGTGAATGACCTCCGTGGTCCCCAGGCTCCATTTCATGGCCCCTTTCTGGAAGGAACATGAATAGGAATCAGGTGGTATTTCACACCCAGCGAGCCAGTCGTCCCATGGTGTCTCTGCTGTGACTATCAGCAAGGTTACCAATTTATACCAATTATTCTCTTGTGTGTTTTATTTATGGGCAGGTCATGAAAGCCCTTCTGGAAGTCGTTGTGTGATTTCAGAGTTTATACGACCCCTTCAGATATCCAGTGACAAACCAGAACAATTGTCTGTCAAACCTACTTTCCTATCCAGGTCAAGATCCGGCAGCCCAAGATGCAGATTTGATTCAGACGTGAGTCTTTTTCACATCAGAACATTTCTCCTCTCCAGTGGGACAGTTATCTTATACATTAGTGATGAACTGCACTGGGAAGAGTCAAGGGGTGAGGTTTTCAAAAGTGCCTAATGACTTAGGAGCACAAAGTAAATGAGAATCTCAGCAGGAGTTTTGAAAGGAGCCAAAGTGAGTTAGGTGTTTGCATGTCAGTTATTCAGTGTGAGCATGGGGTGCCTAAATCCTTTAGGCGCTTTTGAAAATCCCAGTTTTCAGGGGCACAGTTTAAGATCCGTTCTATACTGTGCCTTGCCTATATGTCTCTTTCTTCGCAGGATGTCTGCATCGGTTTGTTTTTTAGTTCTTCTGAAAGGTATTGCATTTCTTCATGAGCACTGTTAGACCTTGTATAATGATGTATCCATGGCATAGTGACAGCACGATCTACTGCAAAAGTAAGACTCTACACAAAACATTGCCAGCGTCCCTCAGACCTTTTCTAGGTGCGATTGCCTCATTTGCTATGACTGCTTTTTGCTTGGTTTTCATGATATGGAAATCCATTTGTTAGTAATTGGACTGATTTCATCACCTAGTATCATTTCCCAGGGTACTCTTCTAAGCTGAATTTGAGCCTGTAACCTGGAAGTGAACAGTTCAGTAACTTATTACCAAGCTTTTAAGCCACGTAGCTTCCTATCATATTTGCATTTATTTGAGTTATTGGAAAGATTCAACCGAGCCTTGTGATACTTTATTTGTGCCAGCCCTTGAACAGCACGGGACCAGCAGGAAATCCTTTGAAATGTGATTGTTCTCCAATGCATTTGGTTATTACTCTTTTCTCATTAGCCTTCATTCTCTCGTAAGCATAGTCTCAACTACGCCATTGCAAAAATCCTGTAGAATTGAGCAAGGATGAAACCCAATAGACTTATAGAGTTATAATAGAAAAATACTTCTAAAATCCAGTTACGTTTACAAGAAAATAAGATCCTTTATATAGATTTTCTTAACCTTGCTGTGGAATTTTATTAAAGGAAATTCATTCTCCATTACAAATATACAAAGGATGATTTTTTTTTTCAAAACCCCATAGGAAGGCTATCACTTTTCATTAAATTCTGTAAGACGCTCTGTAATAACAAATAGTGATGAAGGAGGGGAGGGGATTGTATTGTATCCATCTTATTGGATACAGTCTTGATTTGTCCCTTTATAAAGTTGTTAAAAAAAAAAAAAAGAAAGAAAGAAGAGTTCAAATTGTGGACAGACTGTGTGAATGTATCTGTTTTCTGTGTTAGTGTTGAACCTTTGGAAGTTGCATCAAAATGCTTTTGGGCACAGCCAGAAAACAAACTATGATGTAGGATATTCTGCAAACTTCCTTTTCCAGCTTTTGCCATTGTATACTGAGCATCAACTCCTAAAGGTCTGTTTAGGAAGAAGTGGATGCAGCCAAACTCATCAATAGCTTCCATAAAGAGAGTCTGAAGTAGTCAAACAGAAAAGGCAGCGTAGCGACAAGATCTAGGGAAGCAGAACTAACAGCATAGACCAGAACAAGAGCATGTCAAATTTACTTCCCTTCTATTATTTTTCAGTTGTCTCTTCTTAACAGAATTGTTCGTGGCTTGCCTTTCTGGGTGTAACGTTGTCATGCATGCAAACCTCTCACAGATCTTCGGCTACATTTTCCGAGGTGTCAGATACAGGGGCAACGTATGTAAATTAAGACTTATGGAAATCAGACTTTGAGAAATAAACTTGGTGAGCAGGGCTTGACGTTGTGACATCTGAAATCAAAAAACGAGTGCGAGCCATTCTACAAGACAGGCCTGCAAATCCCATGCTTGCTAGTAAGAATACTAGCTCCCAGGGCAAACAGGATGGACTCTGATAAGAGGAGTGCAATGTTTTGTATGTATTCAGTCTTGTTTAAATACTCAATGAGAAAAATGGTGAAAGCAATAGGGTGAAATCCTGTTGTCTTTATTTCTTTCCAGATGGATAATGAACGGAATGCCAATACCTCAAAGCAGAGATACTCTGGGAAAGTCCATCTTTGCATCGCCCGTTACAGGTCAGATATTCAATTCAATTTTTTCCACAGGGGTATGTAATACATAGATCCCACGTGTCAACCCAAAGCATAAATGGGCTTTTTGCAATGGAGGTCAGTCAGATGAATTGAGGGGATTACATTCCCTCATCCGCTGAGTTACAGAGCCACTTCCACAACCTTGGTGGCTGATTTGCCAGGCTGCAAATGCCCCGGTCACATTCAGCTGCAAGCCCCAGCAAATGGATCCCTCCTAGGCACAACCCCAAAAATATGACCCTGCCTGCACAGTGGAACCATGCTGGCTCCATTGCCTTTTGGGTTATACAGACCCACAGAGGGTTGGGGGCAGTGTTTGTGCCCAGGCTCGTTCTCTGAACAGCTGGCCTGAGAAAAAGGGAGCTCGGGGAAGAGCAAATGATGATCTATCGAAAGGGTCCAGGTCTTCATGGTCTCCGTCAGTATACAGTTACATCAAAATTGGCAAAGTCAGTAAGTTTGCTGCAGTTAGTTTCCGAATTTATGTCAAAACAGCAGTCTAAATTATATCAATCTTGGCTTTGTGCCTGATCATTAGAGAGAGGCTTTCAACGCAAGCAAACTGCTTTTGCTGCTCCATCTTCCTTCCTCCTTGCGAGAAGCACAAACTAGTGCTCCATAATGTAGTCTTCAATGCCAGCAGGTCGCCCATTCACCTGCTCTATAGAAATGTGGTATTTCAGTGTAAAGGGACCTATAGTGAACATACAGCTTGTGTGCTGCTTGGTCTGCACGTGCTGGACCTGTGATCTGCATGTGTTGGTATTTCCTGACCTTACGTATCTCACACTTCTATACCAAGTCTAAATTTCCCCAGCAAAAATATAGCTAGCAAGGATGAGGATGCATGCCAAACCCAGTCCCATTAGAGTATAATAGTCAATGCAATGTAAAGTTGTGATAAAAGAGTGCAGAACCCAGAGGAATTCAGAGCCCATACTGAGTTCAAATTAAGCTGCCTTTCTCTAAAGAGAAACATGATTTTATTTCTGCAAAAGGTGCTAAAAATCACATCCAGTTGAAAAGAGTCCCTACACAGAGGATGAGTCTCTGAGCTATTCTAGCAAACTAAAATGTGATTAATTGATCAATTAAATGCCTTAAATTCCAGCATTCCATTGCCGTGCATATGTTTCACGATTGAAGATCTCCTTCCTTGTAGGTTTAAAAAACAACCAAAACCCAAACCAATTAATGTAGACAATGCATTTAAAAATTAGCATTTGTGAGAGAAGACATAGTCTGTGCTTTCCTTGCAATTGCAGCGTGCAACTAGACTTCTGTGTAAGTCTTTCTCTTGCAAGCACAGCAGCATCCCTTCATTTCAAGGGGCAGAGGTCAAGACTGGTGGCTATGCCTCCCTCCTGTAGGTGAAACTCATACGGTATTTATATATTTACATCAGCAGTGCTGGATACAAATTAGAGGGCATTTGGGGGAAATTTTTGAACATTTCAGTCCATTTACAAACGAGAAACAGTAGTACGATAAATAAGTCACTGTAGTTTCCCTTAAATGCTAACGAGGTTTAGAGTCACTAAATTAAATACAATTCTTGGCCTGCGGGCTCATGTAAAATAAAGAAATAGCAGTAAGTACCTCTACGGGCCGGTGCAGGCAAGAGACGCGCACCGAAGCAGTTCATTCTGGCGACTCACGGGTTATGTCAGCAAGCAGTGCCCCCTTGGAAGAGAGCACATGCCGAGCACTTGCAGGCTGAGAGATGCCATGTGGCTAAAGTCAGCCGCTTTAGCAAGTGGGCTCCTGCTCTGACTTTATAACTGGCAAGGGTTTTAAACAGATTTTCCTTTTGACCATGCTCCTTCTAGATTGCCCAAGGCATCATTACACCATTGCACTAATGTGAGCATTTATAAACAGTTTATAGCAATGCTAGAGGAAGACCACACTTTGAAGGAGAGAGCAAGACCTTTTCTATTTGCCTTCTTGCCATACTCTGCTAGTTGAGGGGGGAGGGTGTTATAAAAATCCTATTCTCCAGTCTGCTGAGGATGCTCCTGTGCTGTGCTGCAGTAGGCTGCTCCCCTTCTAAAAGGCTTTGTTTCACTGCACCTTCCTGTGTTCTCCAGGAGCAATATGGCTCCCCTAACAAAACAATAGTCACTTAAGACTTGGTTGTGATGGTGCTAAACATGTGGAAATCCATAGTGTCAGCAGCACTGGATTCAGACCCTCGTGCAGCAAAAGCAGGATGGGGCCTGGGGATGGAATAATTTTTTTTGGCATGTTCTTGAGACATGTACATTCATAAGAGGATCAGTGTGGCAGAAGGTATAGGGCCTGATGCAAACCCCCCATTGAAGTCAATGGAAAGGGTCTGGTTGACTTCAGTGGACTCTATATCATGTCTTAACATCCCGGTCATCATAAAATTTCAACAGTGGCAAAGGTTCACCCATTGTTAGATGCCCACCTAGGAGCAGGCATTATGGCAAATTTCCATCTCCTGCTAATGCAGCTTCGCATCTCACAATCCAGTGCAAGTATCTGATGGATTTATGTGTGCTAATAACTTTGATCTGAGCATGACACACCTTTTCCTCTAACTAACTGCTTTATGGAGAAGAGCTGTTGAAAATGAATAGATCCTAATGACTTGGGAAAAGCCCTGCGCAAGGAATTATATCTTTCCTTTAAAAATTAAGGAAGACATGGGCTAAGGTGCCTATGGTAGGAAGTAGGGCTTAATTAAGCTCTTTGGAGTAGGGATTACCTGTTTATGCTGTGGGCATGTACAACTCATAGTACAGTAGGGTCCTGGACCATGATTAAGATTCGTAGGAGGTACTGCACCGAAAATAATTATAATGATAATAATATATGGAGGTGCCTAATTCCTCTAGACACCCTGGCACCGCATATATTTCAAAGGCTATAGCATGAAGATTGAAATGTAGAGCTACCCTCATGCACAGCCTTGGAACTGCACTCCATGATTATTATTCAGTGGTGCGTAGGATGCAACTAACTAAATACACGTGTTGTACTAAATGAAGTTTCCATCTGTGCTTCATTGCAGTTACAACCCTTTTGATGGACCAAATGAAAATCCAGAAGCAGAGCTCCCCCTTACAGCAGGAAAATACCTCTATGTGTATGGAGATATGGATGAAGATGGCTTTTACGAAGGTGTTTTATCAAATTTATGCCTTACCGTTACTTTAGGTCGATCGGAAATAATTCATGTCCTAAATGGAGTTATTCATCACCACAGTCAATGGCTAACGTTCCTCCTATCATGGGAGCATTAATTAATAGAATTTCTGTACCAGAAAAGCAGCTCCTTGCAGGCATAACTAATTATAAGGCTCTGAATTGTCAGCTTTTTCTACTTGGCAAGATCTGTGCTGACAAGAAAGCTTATTGAGATTTCTCTTTTTTTGCCTCAAAGATCCTTTACTCTCCTGCAGCTATGAATATTTGAGCTATGAATATTTGATTCCTCTAATCTACACAGAATTCCCATGTGTATCCTCTCCCCATACTATCTTGGGCAATTCGTATTAGATATATAAAGTCATACTGGAGCATAGGTAGGAGGCAGAGGTTTGCTACAAGTAGATGAATGGCACTGTAAATGCTATTTACTTTTCAATCCTTTCATTATGAAGGTGCTCCGTGCAGTATCACTTTCATATCTTATCTTCTCCATACGTAGCTGCTGTTCACTTACGGGGATGTAGTTGCGTGCAACGTTTCAGGTATCAAGTACCATTAACGGTCCATCGGTTTTCAAAACTGATGGTGTAAACAGCAGTACAAAAGATTTTTCTGCCCAACCTTGTTGAACCCCTTCAGTTCAAGCATGCTTTTGCTTACATCAGTAGCTTTATTTACTTCTGTGGGACTATGAACAAAGTTAAGACATCTGTCAGCACCTCATGTGGCACTATGATGTTTTGTCACGCAGTTGGCCCCCTGAAAGCACCCTACAGCCATGCCTCGACAGAAGTGCATGGCTGCAGAGCACTTTAAAAGTGCCTGATCATGCAACAAATCAACCCTCATATAATGAGGGTTCAGAGGAAGGCATTCCAAAGCAAAGCACCTTCATTGACTGCTGTCAGTCCCTTTACACAAGCCAGTTTGGGCTGATGCAGCCCATCCCAGCCCCACCCACTCCAATCCACCTGCTTCCCTTCCAGCGCAGGCTGGGCAAACCCCAGCCTGCAGCTCCCTCCCCTTCCCTTCTCCCCCTCCCATCCTGCAGACAGCACCGGACCTGGGAGGCAGGCGGCAGGGCTAGGGGAAAGAGGCTGCACACAGGCAGCTACTGCTGTGTCAGCTCCAAAGTGGAGCTCGATCCACAACTCGCCCAATGCCTGTTGGATCATGGGGGTCGCTGTAACTTATGGTGCTTTCTGCAAAGTGCCTTGAGTTACAGCAGGCAGCTGCACGTCTGTCAATGCTCATGTTCAACTTAATCCTTACTAAGTGCAGTTAAAATGCAAGCAGACACGCATTCAAACATTTTAGCATGTGTTAGGTGCCCTTGTGGTGTTACCAAGTTGTTTGGTGAAGGTTATCTTCCAGCATGCAGTAACTTTAATAGGTCACAATATTCCCATGATTTACAACCATGACTTGTGACTAGGGTGTGAGTTATGGGGGAGCTGAAGGGACAGGGGAGGGGGCTGAGCCCCCCATAAGAAGCAAGAGCCCCCCTGTAAGATTTGAAAATCAGAACCTGGGTGGGGGGGGGGTCTCCAAATGGATTGCTCTTTCCAATGAACCAGTTTAATTGTTTTTGCAGACCCCCCCTAGAGTCAGAGAGTAGTTTGAACCCTGCTTATGACAGTGAACTTGTGACAAGGCCCTCAGACACAGGATTGAAGTCTTTGCATGATGAAGACTTTGGTTGTGTTTTAGGTACAGAAAAAATAATGTGTTGACCTACTTAATGTTTCCCTCATGTCTGCATCTCAGCTTGCCACATGTCTGAAAAAAATAAAAAGCTAAGGAGTCACTTAAAGTTTCAAATGTATGAATGTATTTGTACTTCAAATAATTCAGTAGCAACCAGTGGCAAAAGTGGTTATTTGGTAGCCTAACTAAGCATTGTGTATGTGCAGTATTTCACTAAGGGAATCCAATTCACAATTACTGAGACAGGTGTATGGACAAATTTGACTCCATCTGCAATCAGATCTGTATTTTAAGGAATCTTTTTTCTTGTACTCAAGAGACTAGATGGGGACTCAAGGGATAAAAATCTCATTCTTGGCTTTGCCGTTGACTTCCTCTGTGATTTAGGACAAGGCACTTATATGCCCAGCTTCTCAAAGTTTTATGGATGGCTAACTCATTACAACAGTGGGAGTTTAGTACCTTTATGCATTTTAAGATATGGGCCTTATTCTCCAGGTGCTTAACTGCTTGTCAGTAAAGTAGCGGTGCCAGTACCCTGTTTCTTCAAGCCTGCCATTTCTTGTCTATTTATAGTATAAGCTTTGGAGCAAAGGCTATCTGTTACTATATTTCTGTACAGCACCTAGCACGTTGAATACGTCATCTTGGCTGGGAGCTCTGTCTCAGCATAGTAGTATTAATAATAACTCAAAGCTATTTTATGAGACACAAAATAACTTTGTACACCTTTGTTTCTCTCAGACATCAGAGGATGTGGCGAGTTAATAATTTCATTGTGTAAATCTAATAGAGTTTAAATTAAAAAGGCTCTGATTCTGAACTTTTCCTGGGAAAAGGGGAAAGATTGCCTTTTTCAGCATATGTGTATGAGAGAAACAAATAAATATTGCTAACAATCCACTGGGTTTTATAACATCTTAGGTCTGTTCGCCCGAGTAGTGTTTTAGCAGACAATGATCACAGCTATCAAGGCTTTCCCCCCTTGCAAAGAAACAAAGTTAACAAAAGAAAAAATGTAAATCCTAAACACACCTATCTTGGGATTCAGCCCAGTCTTTTGATTCCTAGTGGTGAAACCAGTTCATCCCAAGCAGCTATTATTTTGATGCTACTTCTGAACAGTTTTGCAAGGGGAAGGGAAAACCAGTTAAAATTGTGTCCAGCAGGAACACGCAGTGCCCTAGAATGCTATCACAATGGCCCACAGAAGAAAACATGGCTTACTAGTCATTTAAATAGCATTTTTATCCATGTTATAAGTTTTGTTTACTTCTTCTAAACCTAATAAAATTCCTTTCATGCACTACTCCACTCCAACACTGCCAGACTATAAGTCCCATTGAGAAAACAGAGATGATAATAATTAGGTGGTTCTTTCTCACCAGGTGAACTTCTGGATGGACAAAGAGGACTAGTCCCTTCAAACTTTGTGGATTTTGTTCAAGATAACGAGGCCCGTTTGTCGAGCACATTGAGCAGCGAACAGGATCAGAATTTTATCAATCATTCGGGTCATGCTTTGGAAGGGGGTGGTCTGCTGGAGATCAGTCCACCAACTCACATAGAGTCCAGTGTAATCAATAATGGCGCAGGGACTCTGGATGTAAACATTGATGAAATCGGAGAAGACATTGTGCCTTATCCTAGAAAAATCACCCTTATTAAACAACTAGCCAAAAGTGTTATTGTGGGCTGGGAGCCACCAGTAGTGCCACCTGGTTGGGGAACTATTAACAGCTACAATGTCCTGGTTGACAAAGAAGTACGGATGAATATATCCTTGGGAAGCAGAACTAAAGCTCTTATAGAGAAACTTAACATTGCTACCTGCACTTACCGAATATCAATTCAGAGCATTACAAGTAGGGGGAACTCAGATGAGCTACAGTGCACTTTGTTAGTTGGAAAGGATGTCATCGTCGCGCCCTCTCATCTAAAGGTGGACAACATAACCCAGATTTCTGCTGAGCTGTCCTGGCTTCCTACCAACAGTAATTACAGTCACGTGATTTTTCTTAACGAAGAAGAGTTTGACATCGTCAAAGCCACTAGCTACAAGTACCAGTTTTTTAATTTGAAGCCTAACATGACCTACAAAGTGAAGGTCATGGCAAAACCCCATCAAATGCCCTGGCAGCTTCCTCTGGAGCAACGGGAAAGAAAAGAGGCCTTTGTGGAGTTTTCTACATTGCCAGCAGGTTTGGTATTTTTTCCATTCCCTAAAATTTTGCGATTGTGTCAGGAACTCTAGGTATATCTCAATAGCCAGTATTACACTTTAAGTTCTATATCACTACTGTTCACAAAAGTAGTAATGTAAAGTGTGACCCTCCTAGTATTATCTGTAAGTACTACTTGGAGACCTCCTCATGTGGATTCAAGTGAAATGAAGACCTAGTCAGGGGAATAAGCTCATAGCTGCATTTGTTGTGTTTAAGCCATCACATAGTTTTCAGACCATCTCACTCAACAGGCAGGAGAGGTCTGTGAACGGTGATCTTGAGTTGGGTTGACTGCCTTGAAGTTAGCGTTCTTTCACTGATATTTGCTCTCAGACTATGAAAATCAGATGTTTATTAAGTAAAAGCGCACTTCAATTAACACACAAGGCCCCTGAACGTGGGCATGTCACAGTATGAAAATCGCTCTTTTAACGCTATCTTTATTATGGTACTAAAAATACTTTGCTCTCAAGGGTCTCTAGCTAGCATCAGTGGAATATGCCAAGATGCTTAATTCTGCAAATTATTTGTGTCTCATCTTAAAAACATGGGCGGAGCGGGTACATAAATACTAATCATTGGTGTTGTTTCCTTTACCTACCAGTGTTTTTTGGACTGGAACGCACAGGTATTTTATAAATGGAAATTTCTTTTGAAGTTGGAACTACAGCTTCCTCTCAGCAGCATTTTCCTAACCTTAGAGTCTCTTTCTGTAACACTTATTTGGAGCAGTACTTGCTCACATTAGTGGTCCCACTACGACAGGTCTGAGGGCCCATAATATAAAAATGTCAGGGGTAGCGTATCGTGTTGGATCTACATAACATTTGAGATGGAAAATCCACTCCCAGTGTCTATAGTTCCCCCTTGTTCAGTGTTGTCCCTTTCTCAGCAGCTGCATAGAGACTGAGACATTACAGGATGATGATCTATGGACAAAGACGCTGATAATCATCATACAACACACAAACACCGTGCCCCCAAATGCTGCAAGATCAGAACTTTATCATAATAATCTCCAGGGGTTTTTAACTGCTCTCACTGTAGATATTTGAATAGGTTCTTGTTTTCATATTATTCTGATTAATGTGCATTGAAAGATGCAATTAATATTTCAGTAGTGTTCATCTGTATACCTCAAAGCACTTTAAAAAAGGTGAGCCTTTTACAGCTGGGGAAAGTAAATTATAGAGAGGCTAAGTGATTTTTTTTCCAGAGGCACATAATGGGTCAGGAGGAGCACAGGTATTAATATTCATGTCTTCTGAGTTGGGCCTTATTCACATGGCTGTTGAATTAAAAAGGATAATAAATGTGTTGTATCTAAAATTTTAAGTCCATTGGTGGTTTAATTCCAAGGTGTGTTTGATTAGAAGATTATCAGATATGTCCTAGCAATTAAAATGGGCCAAGATGTGCTTCAGAACTGAAGGTGGAGTGACACGATCCAGAGTTTGTTGCAAGGATGGTCATGGAAATGGTGGTGTGTCTGATGTAACAGCTGGATCCAGAGACCATTGCCACCAATAACCAAGGAGTCTGAATACCTCCCCAGTAAGGAAAACCCATATTTAAACCAATGGCAACAAACACCTGCACTGCAATGCAGGTGCTTTCCTTTATTCATCTACCGATTTAGAAGGATGCATCTACTCAAGGACAAAGAAGAACCTCCTTATTTACTCAAACTTGCAGAGTACTAATGGCCTCAGAAGCAGCTCAGAGGGAAGATCCAGTGCGTGTGGCTCACGGTGAGTGAAATTTCAATCCAGTGGCATGTACTGTACTGTGACTTAATTGGCTCCCTGCTGTGATTTGATTTCAGCAAAGTAGCTGGAATTAGTTCTGGTTTCCCCATTCGCTTATGCAATTTATGTAGAAGGAGACACTTAGGGTAATAGTGATGCCTGGAAAAGAGCAAATAGGCTTGTAACTCAATCATTTTGAATGTGTGTTGATCTATCAGATAGCAAAAATGTCCTCAGCCACAGCACAATATGTTGGTAAGAAATAAAGGAGAGCTTGGATACATTGACTGTTATCTAAAAAATTGTAATGGTCTTCAATTTACCTTGGAGGGCAGGGACACGACACTGCCTGGACCCAGAGCAGGAGAGGATGGGTTGGCACTGGCAGTACTACTAGGCTTTCTGCTAAGATGGAGGCTAGGGTAAATTCGTCAGCCAGGCTGTACTAGAGCTCGGGAAGCCTCCCCAAATAACGCTTTCTGAATCAACACATCCTGAAAGTACTTTAGCCTCATTCTGGCTGGCCATAATGTAGACAAGGCCTTCAGAATCCAGGTTTTAAATACAGGCCAGGTTTTTTAACTAAGTGTCTTGGCTGTTAGCTTATATATTGTGATTTATGAGTTACCTTCTGTAGCAAAACAGGGCATGCTCTTTAATTCAGAGCTTCTAGGTTCACTTTTATACTTACAACTGCATGGCATTTAGCACTGTTTTATGGCAAAGAAGGATTGCTATCACCCAACAAATTACAGTTTGTTTTTCATATTTTGGCAGTACAATTACTGAACTAAATGTTAACATTATGGTATGTTCCATTTTTTTATTCTTGCAGATACCACTGGTGACCACATTTCCCTTTCTCCACACTTCAGGTAAAAGACTGAGAGAGACTGGCTGGGGAGGAAGATAAATAAATTAATTGACCTATTGTCATCTTGCATGTATATAAGGAAGATAAATATCTTAATTGACCTATTGTCATCTTGCATGTATATTGATGTACAACGTGCCTCTGAACCGTGCCTTTACCTTAAACTAGTATCTAATGATTCATATTGTTAAGAGATTTAATTCAAAGATTATTTTAGAAGATGCTGAGAAAATAATAAAGATATTTAGCGAGAAAGATGCATTGTTTGTGTTCTTTTAGGAAGATTCACATGGAGGAGGAAGTGTCACATGCAGCAGTTGTCATGGGAAATGTCAGTGTTAGAAAACAGTGGCGAGTGAAGTGCAACATTTAATAGCCAGAGGCAACCATTAGCTCTCACGGTGGCATTTTCCCAAAGGTTTCAAAGGTGTCTACTGTTGAATAGATGTGGTCACTTCCTTTGAACTTTCAAAAGCATCAAACTCTTTTGTCCTCTTTGGGCATGTGAATGCCCTCCAGACAAAAAAACATACAATGAGTCCCTCACACTAGAAAAGGGGAGAGGGAGAGGATTAGTTAATATTAAATTGAATTAAATTTCTCATTTTTACCCCTCAATGCATCACCTTAAAGGAATAAAAAAAATGAAATTAAGCAAGGTGAGCAGGGAGGTCCACTCACATTGTGTCACAGTACAGAACAAGTGTAAATGAATGCAAAGGGTGATGTTTTGCATGATAATACTTTAGAAACACATGCACTTTCATGTGGACAGAAGATTTATCCTGCTTTTTAGTGGTTGAGTGGTTGGATGTTAGTCTTTGACCATTTGTGCACTTAAATATATCCTTACTTTTAAACAGGCGAGTTAATTGCACTTCAGGTGCCATTGTGAGCAAAAGGAAAGTGCAGAGTAACACAGGGCCCCTGCAGGACAAATCAGGACAGCTGGTGGTTGACGCAGGGAAAAAGGCGGAGCTCTTCAATGAGTTCTTCACTTCAGTATTCCTAAGTATTGACCAAGACAAATCCCCCACCTTGAGCATAGACAGATGTCCAAAAGGCACCAGACTGTCATATGTTAGTGCTGACTTAGTTAAGGAGCACTTGGAAGGGCTGGATGGGTGCAAATCAGCTGGCCCGGATGACCTCCATCTATGGGTACTGAAAGAATTGGCCAGTGTCATAGCTGAGCTGCTGGTATGGCTGTTTGAGCACTCATGGTACTCCAGCCAGATCCCTGAGGACTGGAAAAGGGCCAACGTGGTGCCCATTTTTAAGAAGGGGAGAAGGGATGAGCCAGGTAACTTTAGGCCAGTCAGTCTTACCTCTATCCCTGGGAAAATACTGGAAAAAAATCATCAAAGAGTGCATTTGTGAAGGCCCAGCGGGCTGAAACGAAACCAGCACGGGTTCATCACAGGTAGATCCTACCTAACAAACCTTATAGGCTTTTATGACCTGGTTACACACTGCCTTGACACAGGAGCTAAGGCTGATGTCATCTACCTGGATTTTAGAAAGGCCTTTGACAGAGTTTCGCATCCTATTCTCATTGGGAAGCTAGCAGGCTGTGGAGTGGATGCCTACACAGTCAAGGGGATGGCCAACTGGCTTAGGGACTGCACCCAGGGAGTGGTGGTGAATGGGTCGTTCTCGGCCTAGAAGGAGGTGGGCAGTGGGGTCCCGCAGGGTTTGGTCCTCGGACCAGTGCTATTTAATAACTTCATCAGCCATTTAGACGAGGGCATGGTGAGAACCCTCTCCAAGTTTGCAGCTGATACCAAGTTATGAGGCAAAGTTAACACACCGGATGGCAGGGAGCAGATACAGGTCGACCTGGACAGGTTGGATCAATGGGCGGAGTGGAATAGGATGCAGTTCAGCAAAGATAAATGTAAGGTACTCCACCTAGGAAGGAGGAATCCCCAGCACACCTATAAGTTGGGGGATGACCTCCTCAGCAGCTCAGAGGCTGAGAGCGATCTTGGAGTCATAGCTGACTCCAAGATGAACATGAGTCGGCAGTGTAACAAGGCCATCAACAAAGCCAATCACACCTTGTCGTGTATTAACAGATGTATGACCAACAGATCAAGGGAGGTGATGCTCCCCCTCTATGCGGCATTAGCCAGGCCTTAGTTGGAGTACCATGTCCAGTTTTGGGCGCTGCACTTCAAGAGGGATACAGAGAATATGGAGAGGGTTCAGAGGTGGGCCACTCACATGATTAGTGGCCTCCGTGAAAGACCCTACAAGGGCAGGTTGAGAGATCTGGATCTCTTCAGCCTTCACAAGAGATGGCTGAGGGGAGATCTTGTAGCTGCCTATAAGTTTATCAAGGAAGGACAACA